TCTAGGAAAATACTGCATGGCTTAGTGGTGGTTCACTGTTGCTTGAATAAAGTTTTCATTGCTTAAACTTAGTGAAAGGAGATAGATTCAACATGCACAATCATAGAATCTCATTTCCTCAGGGAAGATGAGCTTAAACATCAAGAAAAAAACAGCAAAAAAAAAAACATATGCAAACATATGCATGTGCTTCTCTCTCTTTGTGACTTACATCTTCATCCATTCCACCCCAGAAGTTAGAATATGCAGCCTTTCCTCCAAAAACTTCAATCATTGGAGTAATAACAGTCCTTTGAAAGAAACAATTTTCAAAGGTATTACATCAATCACTACTTTTGTATCTCCATGAATAAAAAAGACAAGAAACAGAAGGGATAGGTAAGCTAGCTAAGGTGGAAGCCATTGATGAGGAATGAGTAACCAAAAAAAACATGACCTTTCATTTTAAGGTCATTCCTTAGTGGTGTTCTTGACAAGCCCTTGCAGCTATGGGTTTTCATTGGCTTCTTTTTCTGAAGCCAGGGCTTTTTTAATTAGACAGAACATATTACTATCTGTCTTGATCTGAAATGAATTTCAACCTGCCAGCAACTGTTACTAGAAAATAAACCTGTAAAATCTGTATTTAGCACAGTTCACATTCACCTCTCCTATGATTAGGGTATACACACTAAGAAAATGGTAGTTTTCCCTTATGCCTGAAGAATGTATGAGAAAGAACAGTCATTCTTCCAAAAACAATTATGGTGTTGTATAATTGTTTTTCTTAACTCTGCAAGGGGTTACATATATGATTTTTTTATGGTTACCATAATACAATGATCAAAGTGTTCCTGTATCAAACATGATGCACTCATCTCAAACATGAATTTAGTTAGTATTCATAATATAAAATAAGATATCCTCAAGTATCCCATATCCCTATATTTTTTTACCCAAATATCCTTTTTCCAGATAACCAGTAATAGGGTCCCCTTAGCACTATGAATCCTCTTCAAGTATGAACTCAAATATATTTCATATTTCAAGCTTCTTCAACAAGCAAATACAGTTAAACAAAACTCTTATAACAGGGTCAGTTTCAGAGGGATGGAAGTGTTGAAACTTTGCTTCATTAATTTACACAGCATTATTTATTCACAACTTTTTCTTACCTTTTTTCTTCCATGAGAAGTGTCAATGTTTTAGGATTCATTAAGAAGTTGTCACAATCTACAAACTAAAAACACAAGGAACATTCATTAATTAACATTCATTAGCATTGAACAAAGTGTTTCAGATGAAATGGAGTCTGCAAAAAAAGATATCAAAAAGATATCCACCATCTTGTCTTTCCAAGAATAACACAAAAAAAAATTATGAGAAAACAATTTAAAGGATTGCCAAAGAAACATGCATTTATTGCTTCTTGATATTTCTTAAGAGTACTTCAATAGGATTCTTCTATCTCTTTCAGGAGAAGCTGGTGTGTACATATCTAAGAAGACAATTGTTTTGTAGATGGTTAGGCCATGTAACAATGTACCGGTAATAGCCAACTTGGTATAGTTTACAAGCCTGGTTTTAATGCAAGTTATGTCACAGATACAGCAGTAAGTTATTAAAATTTAATGTCTCTTGTATGCTTACAAATAGGTAGTCAGCCCACTGTTTTCTTGCACTATCCAAAGCCTTCTGTCTGAGATACATCATCTGTCGATATCTGCTGTCTGGCCACTCTGCTGGGCCCACTGCATCATCATACTTATGAGGTGTATCAGACACATTTACCAAAACTCTGTGGTATAAATGTTTCACATTTTGAGACCACTCTTGTAGTATCTTTGATGTCTTATCTTCATTATGGTCTGATCTGATCCTGGATAAAACCAAAAAGACAGGTACTTATCCTTGAAAACAACTTTTTGCACCTGATCCAACACCAGGGAAAATGTTTTATGAGGCATTTAAAGAGAAAAAAATTGCAAAAATTTCCTAAGGCCACACTTGAGAATAGACCCTGCAGTACAAAGGCCTCAACACAACTCCAACACCCCACAGTTCAAGCATGTTGCAATCCATTACCCAGGGACAACCCTATGACTAACAAATTCTCCAAAAAAAGGACTTTGCACAGTCCAGCCACTGTTTGACTGTTCAATTCCCACGAGTGATTAACATTTAACTTCTCGCTATCACATCCTTACAATTTCCAGCAAACAGGTAATGAGAATTCTCAAACCTATCAGGTAGAAGTTGTTATCTTGATCTAGCATCAAATTCTCATAAATTAATTTACAACAAAATGCGTTGCATCTAAAGTAGAATAATTAACAATGAGGTCTTGGGATTGAAGGGTTAAAAAGAAGTTTATTTTTGTCAGTCAGAAAAGTGCCTAAGCACAAAAATTTTTCTCTTAGGAATTATTGTCATTAATTTAAAAACCCTAAGAGCTTAGTTTGCAGGTATGCTTTTCACTCATGCATAAGACAAAATTGTGCAGAAATCTTCAAATTATCAAAGGAAATACTACATGAAGTTGAAATTCGCACTCAGTCCCTCACGAAATGTAAAGGAATTCAAAAAATGACATGACACGTTGGCACGCGCTACGAGAATTTTCCCACAAGCTTGTCGGACATCAAAATAGTGCCAAGAACAAGTTTCGACTACACAAAGCTTTCCACGGTTCGATTAACCTCTCTGTTACTGTGAAAGCAAGAACTATTCAGGGCAATTAGTGGCAATGACACAGATTTAAGATTTACATGGGAAGTTTAATAATTTGAATCTCTTACTTAATTCACAGTGAATGAGCTTTTGTAGGCAGGCTACAATTTGAACTTAATTATGATTTTCTTACGTTACTCATGAATATGGTTCAAAGCTGTACGAGTCTCTGACATGAAACAACACAAGAAAAAAAATACTCACCAAACAGACATTCGATTCTTCGGGTAATCCAAATTCTCGATGTATGCGAGCCAATTGGGCAGAAGATGAGCGGCGTTACGAGCTATGATCGCTAAAAACACGCTGGGATCTCTTACTGCGGACTCCTTTGAACGATTATAAACAACATCCGAGATCTTTGAGTCCGCTGATGAGATCTTTAAACTTGTAAATATAAGAGTAATCAAGAATAAATAACTACAACGAGCCATCACTAATTGATTTTTCCGGAGATTTGCGAGGAATTACTCCTTGTTCAGACCATCGTCCTTTGCAGATAGAAGACCGGAAGTACAACTGATTGCTTAACTGTCACGCAAGGAAACTCAGCTTATCAAAGGGTTTTTTTGTCCCATTGAATTTCCAGAGGAAACGTGTGTCAGTTGAAGAGTGAAGTAAAGACAAGAGACAAGAAGAAATAAAACTAGATGCGTGTCAGAATTTTCAAATAGGCTACGACCTGCTTGAGTTGAAAACCTTAAAAAAGCAAGCGGCTCCTTTCCTCGACTCCTTGCACGCAAATGCGAGACGTGCCCAAAGTTCTCGGCGCGCGGATCGTGACAGCCTCACACAGGTGCAGTATGGCTAACAATGGTTACTAATTAGACATGACTTATGGAAATTCGATTGCTTCCTCTTTGAAAAGTTGGGATGGGAATCGAAAAGGGGGTGGGGTTGATTATCCCTTCTGTTTCATTCTTTAATTGTTCCTCTATCCATTTATTAATACCTTCGATCCAAAGTTGGTAATTTCATGCTTGAGTTAAATTGACAAAAGAGGGAAGCAGTTTCATTTCGATCATTTCACGGAGTGAAGCAGTACGTCTATTCTGGTGAAAATAACCCTTTTACCTTCCTTTCTTTTTCCTCATCTGAACATTCCCTAATACACTGACCATTTCGTTAATAATTTCACATTTCACCGTTGTTCATAAGATCTGATCACCCGATACCGAGAAATCAGACGATAAATTTTGGTAAATTATATTTCCTTTCTTCCTGATAGCACTTCGAAGTGCAGAGACAGAAGAACTGGGTATCATCACACATGATGTCTTGTATCGGAAGGCTCATATTTATTTATTTGTCACTGAGAGCATTTAACTTTATCTTTGTTTTATCCTCGTCTATAGCAGGCTCGTAATATCAAGTTAGGTTTTACGGTTTGACGGATCTCATTCACCTGCTCCATGCGAAAGACGTGTACCCTGTCTGTATTAGAAGGCAGTTGCTTTAACCCGCTTAAATACAGCACACAAATTTTTTAAAACACAATTTCAATTTCTGCGTCTCTCTTCTTTTATTTTCTTTCATTTTAAACATAAACATGATCACACGGTATGATGATTGGAATGTTGTACAGTTCTTCTTAATTGAATACTATGATGAAGAAAAGTAACTGAAAACGCACCACTCACTGTTCCATCTCGCATGTCACATCTTGATCAGTTGCTCTATACAGATCTGTAAGTCAATCCTAAGTGACCTTTTGGAAAGTTCTGTGAAACTCGTGAATGGCCATTATCAGCTGGGTTTGCCTTGGAAGTTCAAGTCAGTAAGCCTCCCAAACAACCGTGACCTATAACTTGGAAAATATTAAACCAACAAAACAACCTGTCGTCGTTATAAGTCCTTTCAAGAAGAGAATTTTTATCTCCTTATTGGTTTTCTGTATTAGTCTTTGATAGAGAATACGGGAGTTGTGCCTCAGTGGCGCTACTTATAAAAGGTGTGGAGAATCAAAGAAGTTGTGCCTCAATGGCGCTATACTTGTACAAAGGTGGTGAGAATAGGGAGAGATATTTCAGACACAGAAGTAAAAGGCTCTTCCTTGGAGCATAGGAACTCTTAAAGTAGGAAAGGAATAACCGGTATTTGATCTACGCATGTTTCGTCATATGCTTTAAGTCTTCATCCGGCTTACCGACTTAGTTTTAACCTTTTTCTTTTGGTTTGGTCAAAAAATGATGTCTTTTTTCTGCCTTGTATTACCACAAGATATTTTTAAATTTGACGAGGTTTCTTTCAGAGAGAAAACAATGGGTAATTTCTTCCCTAAGTCACCTCTTTTATGAGGTTAGCCTTCGTTTCTGCTTCTTCGATTTATAGCGTATTTCCAGTCGTGATAATATCTTCGCAGCTCTGTGAGCTAAATGAAGTCCATTCGATTTTCTTCTTGGCTTTTCCTGATAGGATTTCTGGTCAGTCAATCTGCTGTTTCGCGGTAAGTTTCTAATCGTTGTTCTCTCTTGGGGAATGGACACAGAATGACGTCGTTTCTCCATTTCATCCATATTGCTCATTTCGTCGTCATCGTCGTCATCGTCATCATCTGGGCCCTCATCGTCCTCTCGGCCAATACCCATCATTTTTCGTTGAGCCATAAGCATCATCTCTTCTTGAATCCTCTCCTTTTCATTACGGTTCTCTTTTTCTCTATCCTCCATATGATTTAGAACACTTTTCAGCTGAGTGGCAAGCGTGTGAGCTAGACTTTTCCAGTCCTTTGAATCGCTCATGCTAACAACGGCATAGTTTGGTGGTGGTGACTCAGGACCCGTCTTACTAGAACTTAGATAAGGAACATTTTGTTGCGAAAGGGCCTCGGCGCTAGCTCGAGCGCGGTCCAGATTTTGTGCATGTGCAACTTCCGCGTGATGTTCGCTTGCAGCCATATCTGCCGCCAACTCGCGACTGTCCTCCATAGACTTGGCATCGGCTGGAAAATCCTGAGTGGCCTCTTGAACGAGTCTGGTATGGCTGTGATGAGTGCTGTCTCGATCAAACAACTTAATCACATTTTTAATGGCGCTCGTGGCCGCTTTGATTTTAGCTTCCTCTTCCTCTGCCTTAGCTCGGGCCTCTTCGTTTTCAGTCTGGAGTAGATAAGTGGGCGAGGGCAAGCCTCCCGGACGGTCCTCTGTAGTGTAACTCACTCCGGTAGCATGACGGGAGTTTTTCACCTTGAAAATAGCTTTACCAGTTCCCGGCCGCTCGTTGATGGTAAGTGTGACTTGTTTCCCCGATGATTCCGAGACGCGAGGCTTGTTGCGAAACGATAAATTCATCTGTTAAAGAAAAAAAGGACCTGTTTTGTCAACTATTCGTAGTGTTTCTCGCTGAATTCTAGGGGTCATTACCATTAAGTTCGAACAAAACAGAAGCAGCACCTTAAATGTTGGAGTACTTAGCGTGGCAGGTAAAAAAAATTATTGGCGCACCGATAAAGTGATTCATCTCTCTATCAGTAATCAAGAGCTTACTCCTTCAGCAATCGTATAGATGGTTAGCCTAGGAGGCATTGGGGTGCTTCAGTATAGTTTTATGCGATAAGCATGTGAGGGACAACTCTAAGATCGAAAAAAGGGGCTTAACTGAGGAAGAGTCTGAAATGGGTTTTACAATGTCGTTCTCAGAGCTACTGACATAAACGACTTTATGACTAAAGGAAAGGTGGGCCCTGAGGCACGATTTGTCCACACTATTGTTTTGCGTGTCGCACACAGTTGGGGGCATTTTACAAGACTGCTTTCGACTGACTGTCGTAAGAACAAAACCAAAATAAACGCAACGGCTAATCAGGACGGCGGAGAATTCCATAAAGAAACACTAGAGACAGAGTAAATACATGAAAACTTTGTTAAGGGCGAGAAAACGCGAGTGATCAGGGAGCGATTGGGTTTAGTTCAGTTTTCTTGTGTTTTGTTGAGGTAATGCGAGTCTTGCAGACTGAATAACAGAGCATAGAAAACTAAAACTAAAGCAATTCTGAATTATTTTCGACCCGTGGTTGAAGTGGTTCTAACGTGCACTAACCTGTAAAACAGGATTGTTTTTATTGCCATGCTTGTTACCTGCAAACATCAAGTCTATTGGCATGCTTCCCTCTGAACGATCGAGTTTAACAAAGTTTTCAGCCATGCTTGTTGAATTAACCACGGAAGTGTTAGGATGTACATGCACTGCTATGTGTTCAAACGCTTGCTGACCTGTTGTGTCATCAGAGCTAATAGGCAAGATGGAGTCTGTGTTTTTTACTCCGTCTCTGTGCGTCACTCTGCTTTGTAAAGTGCTCATCTCATGAGAGTCTAGACTCTGTGCAGCCAAGTTTAATTTCAAAGTATTTGTATCTGTGTTACCTTCTTTCATTTCTTCATGCATGTATTGATTACCAACACCTGGCAGGAGGCGCTCGTTTACGGAGGCTGCATTATCTAAGAACCCTTCAATCTCCTTTAAGTCCGACTCAGGGACGTTATTTTCTGTGGGAATCCTGCTGCTGGGCGATTTACGTTCCTGGGCGGCCTTAGTATAAGAGCTACTATTGTCTCTCAGTGCTAACAGCTTATCATAAATTAGCGCGTCATGAGGACCTAAATCATTCTTTGTTCCTGGATCAGAGGCCAGGAAATTGGTAGAGTTGTTCAGAACATCATACACCCTTCGACTTGACTTTTCTCCGAGTTCATATCCCATTAGCAGCACAACAGGATTCGTTCCTTTACCAGGCTGTTCACTTACCTGTGTTTTTCCGCTAATAATAGGACCATCCGGCGAATGTGTTTTTTGTTCACGTTCTACTGAGGAAACGTTTGAAGAGAATGACATTTTTCCCTTTGTTTCATCATTCGTGGGTACCGTTGCACTTTGAATACCAATGCGAGCCTTATTAAGCAGACCAAGAGCGTTTGAAGAGGCTAAATAAATCAAGCGAAGAACGAAAAATATATCTGAGTTGGATAAAAAAACATAGAAAAATACACTATAGGCTCAGTTCTATGAAGCAGCCAGGAACCTTTGTGTAACCTAAAATGAACCGATGTAGCTTAATATCAATTTATAATGGTAGTCTTTGTGGGGTTGTGACTTCCTACATGCGAGTTACAGTTAGGAAACTTTTTGTTATCCAGGTATATTTTACCAGTTGCTGGTTAATTGACAACTATCCTTTCATAACATAATAGCTGCCAGCAAAAACTACAGATTTTTTATCATTGTGAGAATTTGTGTAATAGATTGGCGATTGATACATCATAGCTGGTTCACGTGTTACCTGCCGTTAGAAACTTGCATCATGATTTTGACTCAAACCTGATAATTCAGTGTAATCCATATCTCCTTCCAGCTGAGTTGCTATAGCCTTAGCTGCATCTTCTACTTGTGGTGTTGTCTCTTTTCCCAGTATTTGCACCGGTGGTCTCTTGGGTGGCTTTGTGGACGATGCATGCGCATTGACTGGTTTCTTTAATCGCCCCCAGACTCCCTTTATATCTATCACTTGCCATTGTTTTTGGCCTGGAACTTAAAACATACAGTTGGTTCTAAACATACCTTATGACGTATTTGTGAGATTTCTTAAGGTCTTGCAAGCAGAAAGAAGAAAGTGAGATATTGTCCGCACTGGCCAAACAGAGCAATGGGAAATATTCAAAGAGAAATAAGAGAAAACAGGAACCAACAAGGAGTGCATCTGAACATGATTGGCTGAAATGGCAGCATTATTTTTTAGACCAATCAAGGAGCGAAGTAAAAGAAAACCAAAAGGATTCCGGATACTTTTTGATACCCCAATGCAAACTCCAGTAGGAACAATATATTTTTTCGAGGAATGGTTTTATCCGTTTTCAGATCAAGCAAGATGGAAGTGTATGAGACACTAATTAAAATGGGTTACCGCATGGTTGGTCGCGATGTCTAGGTATCAGCTTAATTTCCCGTTTTGTGACTTGAATAACTAATCTTCATAGTGAAGCCTCGACAACCTAAAAAATGTCATTCGGACCAAATTGCTGCACTGAAAAAAGGCCTCAAAACTGCCTCGATTTTCCATTTCCAATTGGAAATTAGATGTTCGTGATTAGTAATGATCCAATGGGAGAATTATAATACTTACCACAGTACTGGCAAGTTTTGTTACAAACGTGCTGCATTTGTCGACGATATTTGAAGCAGAAACCCATATCTTTCCACTTGTGACATCTTGTCAGCACCCCATTAAAGTCTCGACAGTTATTATTCACCGTAGCAATGAATTGTCTCGTGTTTCCTGGAATATCTGCAGTGTAGAAAAAAATGAAATGTTTCTGGCACGAGTTCCGCTCTTCTAGGATCGTTCGGTGGTTACCAAGAAAAAGGAATATAGTTAAGTGGAGATTGGGGTACATTCCCATGTGTATAGCACTATTAGACACTATGAGCAAAGTCCTTCCCTTTTTAAATCAGAGCGCATTTCGACTAAAGCCAGTTGAAAATAAAACATTACATATGAGGAGAATATCATTGAATTGATTGTTTAGAGGAATTCTTACTTTTGTTCTTTGAATTCATTTTAACTGATTCATTCTTAACAGATTAGGACGGCACTTGTCTTGTAGCCTTCTTTGCGTTAAGAATGATCGCATTTTCCATAGAATTTAAAAATGCTCCTAAGAAAATCTTAAGCGAGAAAAAATGTGCCTTTTCTCTAAATTCCAGAAAAAAACAACATGATCATAGCCGGAATCAAGAATTATTGGCATAATTGGAGCTAGGGTTCGTGGGAAAATGATGAATATGTGGAAGTATAAAAAAAGATGTTTTTCGTCTTGTCACGAGCGTGGGACAAAGAAAAAATTCTGAGTCCCCATGAGGAATCGAACCTCGGACCTTCGGATTCCGCGCTCCGATGCTCTACCAATGTGGAAGTATGTTTTCACTTTATCATCAAATTAACCCTTTCACTCCCCAGATCTCATTAGTGCTTGTTATACAATGCTTATGATGTTAGTTTGGAGAATTGGTATCGGATCAACTTAAAATCCCCTAATTGATATTTTTCTTTATTCTCATCACTTTTCTGCTTGATATTGTAATGATATTGTAAGGAGAAACTGTGTTGTGGTCACTCGAGAGAGTTACAGGGGTGACGAGGAAAGCAGGTAGTGTAATGAGGAAAGTCAGTTCTGAAGCCGGCAATTGATGTGGGTGTCAAGTGATATGGAGCCGATGTGAACTTGATCCATTCAAATCTTAATTGACCTGGAACATCGCTTATGGCTTATAGGACCTCCTCGTTACAATATGAACGATATGAAGTGTAACAAAGTAATTACCTAATTCCTTGTAGGCCAGGACAGTACAAGCCGTCAAAAGAACCATCGCCCATATTTTGCAAAGAAGGATTCTTATTGATTCCATTGCGTTCTTTAAAACAACCACATCACTTCGATACCTCTGATTTCTTCTTGTAAATCGCGAAAGATTAGTGTTTTGTGTGTGTGTCGAGATTTCAATTATAACTTGTCAAGTGTGATTCGACGTTTCCGAGTATTCCATAACGCCGTTGTCACACATGTAGCAGATTCTCGTACTTTACAGCACGCACCATCGATAGAAAACCCGTCACTATTCTGAAATTTCACCATATTTTTGACTAAAGGGTATCTCTATCATTGTGACGCCAGATTATTCACTTGGTTTTTCAATTAAATTTTCATCCCTGCCAGACCCGAGTCGCAACACTGGTGAAATGTTCTTGACAGGAAATTCAAATGTCAAGGAGAGTGACATCATTGGTTGTTTCAAAAGAAGGGATAAAACACTCGACAAGTAAACGCCCCTTGAACATGTTCCGCTTTTGAAGTTGACGTCGTGTAAACAGGTCTCCACTGGGAACGGTACCAGAAACTATTGAAATTAAGGTATACCAAAAGATGACCCATTTTTTTATTTTGTCACTAACAAAAAATAAATATTATTTCTATTTGTTACATGATCGAGCCTCTAGTATTCACCTTCCAAGTCCATTGCTCAGCATGATGGCGAAACTACTTTTGGAGTTCTGTCTAGTGTTTGCAATAATCACTCCAAACAAGAGGGTACTGGAAACAAGTGGCACTTCATGTTCTTTCAGCGACTGAAAGCCTCTCAATTAAATCCTACCATTGGAACACTTAAATTTATCACCCAACTTACTTCCGAGATCAGTTCGTTTCAGCACGTCACTCTGCTTAACAACTTTCGTAATGGGCAGAGAAAGTTAATTAAATTACAAAATGATTTAAAGCAATCAAAAAAATGCGTCGTTCGAAGTTTCTGTTGCAGGTGTTCCCTTAACCTCACTTGATCGCCTGACTTTCTTTTCATTTCCTTTTTGTCATTTCATTATCAGTTTCTATCGAAATTGTTTTAGTCGGCGTCGATAAAACTTCATAAAGAAAAGATAAAAAAAGGAATATGTTCATCAGACAGCATTGGTCTAATCCTTTTTCTCCTCGAGGCAAAGCGTTTGTCAGTAAGCCTCGATTTCGTGTACCAGACCCAGTTTTCCTGGCTGACTCTAAATCTGTCGAACATGGATAATGGCTGCGAACGTTATTTGTCAATAAGACTTGATAAAAGGCGAGAATTATGACAGTGTGAAAAGACTACTCGGTCATGCAACTCAACACTTATCACCTAGTTAGTGACTGGTTTAGCAAAACGGCTGTGAACCTTTTCAGGACCTGACCTGTTGGTTATGAATTAATAATGACTGGCAATTACTGAACTGGAAACAGGGCTTTTTCTTTTAAGGAAGACCTTGTTTACTGTTACAAGAAGAAAAATTGACTGGAATCGTTTTTTCGTTACCGTCCTGTAATGTATTCACCTCGTAAGAACAGCACTGTTTTCTAAAAGAGAGTACATTGGAAAAAATGGTAGGTAACTGACTTAAATCACAGATAAAATGTTTGTCCGCTAAGTTCTCAAATGTAGCATCAAAACTGCCTCGAAGATATCTCATAACACTGATTACCTCTTTATGCTCTGTTTCACAGGTTTAGGATGTTAATTGGATGCTTCTCTGGTAGACATGATGTCAAAGATTGTCTCGTCCGCCCTGCTTTACCTTATAATACAGCACGCTACCGCAACAGGTATCTGCGACTCTATGGTAGTCACAACAAAATAATCCGCGCACTAATTAACTTTTTTGTATTTCCTTTTACTTGCACTTCTGTAACTCCCACTTAGCTTGTGTTCACGGCCGGAGGGCGATTGGAAATATGCCAAATTGTTATAACGAAAGAACTTGAATTTAAAATAAAGCCACAATCAGCTTCATCGAGTATTCATGAGCATCCGATTATCGTCTTGTACTTCTTTTATCTCTCTCTTAGTTAACACATTTGCATCAGCACTTTAAAGAGTCTCACGGTAAAACTTAGGGCGCGTAAATTGTTCTATATATTCCACACTAAAAAATGCAATAACTATTTACATACTGCCTGTGGATATTGTGATAATTCTATTGCCAATTTAGCTTTTTGAAACAGTTGGGCAAACGTTCTGATCATTGTGACTTTTAGTTAGTTGTATGGACGAATCAAATATACCACGCGTGAAGGCTATTATTGAGTTTTTTTTTTATTATTCTTATTGTTATTTAGATGATGAACCATATGGCTCAACTAGAGGTGAGTTAGTTATATGGATGAATCAAATATACCACGCATGAAGGCTATTACTTAGTTATTATTATTATTATTATTATTACTTTTATTGTTATTTAGATAATGAACCATATGGCTCAACTAGAGGTGAGTTTCACTTGGGCAACTTGAAGACGTTGCATATGTTTGGAAATCATATACATGGTCTCGTATGATCCAAGAAAATTTTGGTACTCCCTCAACTCAGTGTTAACAGGACTCTTTAATTGCATGGCAAATATCACTATCACCATCATTTTCATCAAAATCACAGATATCATTTAGGGCTGAGGCAATAAACTCGTAAAGATAAATCGTTTGGAACCGTGGCTCCTTCATCGTATCTCTTTTGCAATTTTTTTTTAAGGGACTATCACGAATAATGTTTCTACAAAATCGTTGCACTTCGTCTAAAATGTGACTACCATGAAATTTCCTCTTGTAATATTACCCCTGAGTCAAGCATTACTGTCATGAGAGTAAAGGAGACTATCGCCAACTTATGAAGCTCTTGATTATTAAACAAATTCTCCTCTTCAGTATGAAAGCAGTGTAGAGAGAACAGTAGGGAGAATATGTATTCTAATGTTAGGATGTAAAGGGTTAAGACAAGTTTCTCTTCTAATGCTGTAGGTTGTAATTCAGCTTGCCAGAGAGAGTGCATCGAGGTTATCAACAAATACCGATTGAACCATAATGCAAAGGGAGTAAAGTTCTCCCAGTTTCTTGCTAACAAGGCTCAGAGATGGGCAGACGGAGGAAAATTCGGGTATGACATGAAATCTCGCAGGAAATACGGGCAGCTAATCGAGTGGGACGTAAAAGATGAACTTCAGAATTTTACAAACGTAATCAAACATTGGCACGATAAGGAAAGAGATTTTGACTTTGCTTCTGGTCGATCAAAGACCGGAAAAACCCTTCACGATTTTACGCAAATCGTTTGGAAGAAGGCCAAAAAGGCCGGCTGTGGTCAGAGCGAAATATTCGGCTCAAAGTATTATGTGGTGTGGATGGATTCTGATGGTGTTGTGAGTCCGAATATAGAAGTTGATGAAACAAATATTGGATCTCCCAAGATGGTACGTCGGGTCTTCTATTAAAAAAAAAAGATTCTATGTTAGCGTGCGTTTGTTTAGGAGTGGATCACAGATGACGTCAAAATATGGTAAGAACAAGAAAGTGGCGCACGAGGCGCAGCCAAGTTTGCCACTGATGATCTTACCACATTTTGAGGTCATCTGTGACCTATTGCTAAACCGATCCACGGAAATGCGGAATCTATCTGTTATATATGATAAAAAAGCGAACTGCTGCTGATGGTTACGTCATCTATGCGTTTGTACTCTAATAGATCATGAATAATAATCAATCAGAATGCGTATACAATTCAGCTTATCATATAAATCGTCCTTTTCGACCCAAAACGATGACCTCCGTCGTTTTAGTACTATTTGTAAAAAGGCGTACGCAATGTATACAATCCTTTACATAATATCTTGAGAGAACTTAAAAAAATGAAATTATTCCGAAGATTATAATGAAAATAAGTGTACCTCATAACCGTACGTAGTTTAAATTGAATTATTTGTGTTTCACGTGCAAACCTTGTCCATAATCAATCTGTTTTAGAACGATCTTCACTGGTTCGAACGAGCTAATCAGTCGACTAAAAGGAAATCTACTCATGTAGTGCCGCTAAGACCACAGGACGCAGATTCCTCAACAAGGGGTCGTGTGGAGCCTGAATCACCAATAAATGCTTTGAGGGGTGGTGATGAGCATGGCAAACCTGCTGGTCACCCTGATTTGAATGAAGTTCGAGAAGAGCAAAAGGTGTTGAATAACAATGCTCTTTTGAAACAATATCTATTTCATGACACCCTTAACAATGTGGTATTGAATGAAAATAAGGAAACTGCTAGTTACCACGTAGTTCCTGGAGCAGAAGACGGCGCCAACTGGCAAAAAGGAGCAGAAAGTCTAATACAGCTAGATCATGACAAGGGGAATATGAACCATACCTCACCCACTCATGGCATGACGTCGCTAGACAATACACCGACGTCATCTAGTAATGGTATGACCTCTCCGATTAGAGATGGGGAAGACGATGATAGTAAACAGGCGGCTAGGTTCCAATCCCTGGTGATCCAGGACGATGACATGCTGACAAAAAGTGAAGAAGACGGCAACGGAACAGTCTCCACGGAAGCCAGCGATAGCGACGATATCGCGGAAGGGGATGAGTATCAGCAGGCAGCCATCCAGTCTATGATGAAGCAAGAAGACGATATGATACAGAATGAAGAGCCTGCAGATGACGAAGAGTTGTCAGGAGGGACTCCTCCACCAGGCAAGGCAACATTTGGAACCTCAAACAAAGTGGCACCAAACGATGTCAATGGCAAAAGTTATTCAAAACCCTCTACAAAATCAAATGAAGCTTTTGTAATCAATATAACCGAGGATCATCAGGGAGAAGACGGAAAATCGTTCTATACATCAGGTGTGGCCCTCAATAATAATCCCAACGAGACGAACACATTTACTGCATCAAATAACAAACCTGCTCTTGATTTATTTAAGGGTAGCGCTAATTCGTCTCTTCGCAATGATGAAATAAGGAACCAGTCAACGGCAAGCATCCGGCCAGGGACTCCTCCTGATTCGCTTTCGAAAGAAAGGCATGACAGTGATGAGAATGAAGATCAAACAAAAGGTAGGATGCAAACATCAGGAAATTCCTTATTGAAGAATAACAAAACAATAAACAAGATAAAGGTAAATACTTCACAATCTGCCATATTAAATTATGACAACCTGTCAAATCAAGAGAAAACAATGCAACAATCTAAATCAAAAGAGAATGCTCCGACAAGCTCGGTCAGCATAAGCTCTAATTCAAGCAATGATATGGAGCAAGTTGTAAATATGGCTTCCACTCCAAAGGCATCAAGCTCTCAAGGGAAACTTATACCTGGTGAGATTCAAGCTGAGAAAAAGCCCTTTTCGTCGAATATGCGACCGCGACTAACTTTAACAGAAATGATTACACCTGGGGTGAAAATTAATCCTGTCGAGAATTCCCCATCTATCCCTCAAACACATTACACACCCGGACCTTTAGAACAAACAGTAACAGCATTAGTCAGCCACCTTCCAACATCTGCGGCCTCAGGAAGTCAGAAAGCTGAACAATCGATGCTTACATCGGGCACAAAACCACACAATGGTCAGTCAACTGAGTCAAATACTGCGATTCAGTCACCTGTTGCCAACAGCCTCGATGCCAGCTCACATGACTCTGATCTTCATCACGTGAATTCACCAGCTCTGATCACTTTGCCGAATTCCAGTAGCCGGCCTATAAAGCTCGTTTTCCATGTTCAAGATATGAAGTCAAAAGGGGTGTCGCCAAACACTCAGATTAGTGGGTCCCAGGGCAGTGATGACAACCAGTCAGCATCTGTGTTGAATGTTGCCGCAGATATGGTGAACAATGAAGGTAAGTAAGTTTCTAAGTACGTATTAAAAAATAAAGGTGGGGCTAAAGAGTGATTCCAAGCAATGTGATCCTGTCTTTGTGAAAAATATGCAATGATTTGTAATAATTAAGTGATCTGGCATCCTACCGATTGCCAATATGACCTTGGTATAGGACCCACCCTCTCCCGACTAGAAATATCTTCCACGACGTCTGCGACAGACAATGGCGGGACTGTTATCTTTTATCAAAAAAAAATCGAAGACGACGAAGATATTTACAAAGAAGTAAAGTTTTATGCAATTATTTATTATCTAGCAAAACCTTGGTTTGCACTCGAAGTTGTTGGCGTTCAAACTGGTGCACATTAATATCAATGACTATTAACAATTACATTCTAGCACCTAAAAAAGAACATGACTAACCAGCGATTTATCTGTCCATCGTATCTTCAGAATGTCACGATGACACCTTACAATGTCACCTTTGGGCTCACCATGGACACTGCAGAGGAACTGCATACGCAGAATTTATGAGAAGACATTGTAAAGCTACCTGTGGATATTGTGGTAATTCTAAAAGCATTATTTAAAAGTCTTTCTGAATCGTCATTTGTTGCCTTTGACTTGCAGCTCATAATAAGAGCAAATTTCAACCGTACAACTACTTACAATCTACTTACACAGTACTTAGCTTCACAGCTTTGATTTAATGGCCTTAGAATAAACACGTTATGTAATCTGTTACTTACCCGCTTCATGGCTTTTAGCTTGTGTGAACTTAACAGAACGACGCAACTCTTTCCTTTGTCACTGCCATTCTCACCTTGAACTAGATTTTCCAACTTTTTACTTGACACCCTTGCCCATCCTGGCTTCAATCCTCTTCAAACTGTCTCAGGCGTTTCCTGACAAAGTGACGAATGTTACTATAGCTAAGAAATATGATTATACGGATAGGAATCGAACTCTTTGCTGGGAATCTTACCCATGAATGTTGATATTTCATGAAGCTGTTGCCAAATATAATAAAAAGACAAAGAAACTCACGGGACACTTTTCATGGCAAGGCTTTGATAAATGCTGCAGAATGTTCTTTCTGGTTGTAGGTCTTCCTTCGGTCATCAAAGAAAGTGAAAATCACAAAAAAGCCCAAAGTGTGGCTCAAGATGGTAAGTGTTGGTTAATTCATGATGAAGCGTGCCTTTTTTGAGGGTCACAGTGCTTGATATTACTCATTCATCACCCACTGAACGAGAGGTATTTCTGTGTGTGAGTTTACAACGTGTAACTATAACTTCAGTTGTACCACGTCAACTCTATTACCAAAATGATGAAGGTCACCGCACCTTTAAAGGGTGACCCTAACAGGTACCAAATAGCGTATTATGAACTGTTCTAAGATTCATCATCACCTCTAAGAGGCACCAACTCCTGAACAGCTAATAATGCCTCTCATACGTGTGTGGGATCACGAATCACTACTCCTGAATTTGCAAAGCATCCTTAATGACATATAACCGGTGATTCTATTTCAAAGAAGGTACTTCGATCACTGCAATCACAATATTTTTGGAATTACTATCCCTCGGGACTTTATCTCTGCTCAGGTTACTTACTACTTCTTGAAAAGATGCAGCGTACTGATTTATCACTAATTGTAGATTATTTTCTTAAGAACCCTGCCAAGATATGCCTAAATATCAATTTAGCTGTCCCAGATGGCAAGCTCAAGGCTATTGTGAAAAGAAAGAAAATGAAATGAAAATGGTTTGTAAAAGGACATGCGGTTTCTGTGGTAAGTAAATGGTTCATTAAAAGCGAGACCCTTACAATCGAGAATAGGAAAAGTAGGTTACCCTGGCAAACTAAAATTTCCCGGTAATCGTGCATCTCATTTCATGAAACACTCGGCCACATTACGCACTTGCAAAACCAAAAATAGGTCTTAGTCTGCCACCTACCTAAAACTGTAACTTTCAAATACTTTATAATAATTGTTGTACCAGGAGAATGCTTCCTATTGTCTTTAATGATTCTAATGCGATAATGGATCTGTACAACTAATTGATCGCAGAACGTTACTTATGATGAGATGAATCAGAAATATCCCTCCGCCCTTTTCCTTGACAACCGCGTTTGACAAGTACGCTTTGAAAGAAAAAAAAAGGCACTGGTGAAAATGCGCCTTTAGAGTCATAAAAAGCCGAGAAACGAATGTACTATAAATCATCTATGCAAATATTTCAATTTCAAAACGTTGAGTTTGTCATTCATAAATACCTTTTGTTTTGCTTTCGTTGCAGTGGCCGATCCAGTACACGCACCTAATGAAGCTGTGGTATCTCAACATTCTCCTCTACAGGCTAACACGGGTAACACTAACACTGCTAATGTTAAAGCTCCACAATTGTCAAAGCCGCCGGCATCATTACCAGAAAAGTCCACTGAAAATAACATATCAAATGATCAACTGCATTTAACACCACAGTTTGATGATCAAACTATAAACATAACACCCCTGAAAGCAAAAGTGTCACTGACAACGTTATCAGAAAAGGCAAATGAAAATAACATACTAAATGATCAACCTCGCTTAACACCACAGTTTGATATGCAAACAATAAACATAACACCCCTGAAAGCAAGAATTTCATTGACATCATTACCAGCAAAGTTTGATAAAAGTAACAAATTAAATGACCAACCTAAACTAAAACAACAGTTTGACATGCAAAACATAGAAATTACACCCCTAAAACCGAAGATTTCGTTGATTAAAGTCTTCGAGCCATTTGTAGGATCACTTACTAAATCCAACTCTACGAATACCACAGAGGCTTCAAAGACATCATCTAAGTCTTCCCAAGACAAGCATCTTACTAAAGAAACAGAAAGCTCACCCTCCAAGAATCAGGATGACCAAATTCTTACAGTTGGCGCAAAAAATATTCACAATTTTACTCTAAAATCCGTTGGTCAGACCCTCGTCCAAAAAAATAGAACCTCACTTTTGGATCAGAGTGGTCCTAACACACCAAGTTCTTTGCCTCGTGAGCAGGGCGTGCCCATCGAGCTTAACAACTTTATAAAAAGACCCATTAAATTTGGTTTGTCTCATTTAAATGGAGCAGAACTTCAGTCAAGTCTATTTCCTGCTGGAAACAGAGTTAACAGCCAAAACTATCGATCACAGGGAGAAGACAACTTGATTATGGAAGGTATCGAGGCACTAAAACACAGGCTGCAAGCTCCGGTGCACATAAGTGCTGTGGCAAAGAGTAACCCAGCGTGTGGGCAAAGACTCTGCAAGGAAAAAGTAAAAACCCAAGAAGCAAAAACTAGAGAAACCATAGGAGATCAAGGTGGAAAATAAATATTTACTTGATGACTGGGTGTGGTGAACTGGGTGGGAAAATATTCGGCTCAAAGTCGTGACGTAAGGACCGAGCGCAGCTAGCTCCTTTAAACTGAATATTTTCCAGTCCAGCCCGACAAAATTAATCAATAAGCATTTTATCATATGACCTTCGCTCAAGCCATCACGTACGACAGAGACTTTTTTAAAAATATTTTTCAATTTAAGCTCTCGAGGGGCCTTATAGGTCACAAGTGATACTCTTAAAAATTGGAAAGATGTTTGAAAAAATCTTCCTTATAGCCAATGTGGTCTGCAAACAGTTATGGATAATTTCAGAATAATCCTAATTATTGATGTGAAAAGTCGTCGGAAAAAGTGAATATTTATATTCAAATGGTTCGCCTTATAGTTAGTTTCATCAAGATTGAAGAAGTAGAAAACTTCCATTTAAGACGCTATTTTAAAAAAATTCAACAATCACTGAAACTTAATCTGTTCTTAAAGTGGAGGAAATATTTATCAAACTTATTTTCCTTGTATTATTTAGCACTGGTTGACGTTGCAGCTGCTCGCAAGACTGAAGAGAAACCCGTCTCAACAACTGGTAATGGTTGATTTAAAAGGAATTTTGTTATTATTTTTTCTTATCCTTGGTAAATCCAATCAAAAAAGTGATTCTTTTGAATTGTTGGATATCAACAGTGGCTACATCATATGATTTTGAAATGTTCTTGCTAAGTGTTAAAAGGATTATTTAACTTATGCATAGTAAACTATTAGTTTTGCAGTCATTACCAAAGAGACACTCTTACGCTTTATGACGTATTTCTTCAAATCACCTCCAAAAACATCCGTCAATAACAAATTCAAGAGAGGATTTTGAAGAGCAGAAATGCAAAATTAATATTTTTGTTTTTCATTATCATAACCGTATCCGTGAAAAGGTTTGTTTGTTGGGTTAAAATTAATCAGTCATTAAAGAAAGATAATAAGAGAACCGTCAAATCGCCCAAATGGTTTGGTTTCGAATTCTCATTCAAAAATAAAGTCGCGATTTTCCTAGTAAAATACTAAGTGTCTTGGTCTATGCCAGAATAAAAGTTTAAAGTTACGTACGTAGGTCGCAACCTCAGCCATTGTTTATTTAAGGTTGTAACAGCTCGTGTCAACAAGAATGTCTGGCGGCTCACAACAGATATCGTTTAAACCATGGCGCATCACCCTTGATATTGGACCAAACATTAGCCGATCAGGCTCAACAGTGGGCTGATAAAAAAGTGTTTAAACATTCCCCCTGGGCAGGGGGGCAGGGTGGGGAGACAATCGCGCTGGGTAGCCTTTACCCTTCGTTCACTGCTGCAGTTAAAGCTTGGCACGACGAAGAGAAGGATTTTGATTGGTCAACTGGAACTGCCATCGGAGATATGAAAGTCAATCACTTTACTCAGGTGTGGATGTGAATGTTTTCTATTTCTACCATTTTTAAGCTTAAGTTATTAAGAGTTAGTGTTTACTCTGAAATCTGCAAGTATGAATGAAGCCAAAAAGAGACAGCAGTTTATCGTTTTGTCGGTCTTTCAGTGTAGCATTTTTATTCATTGTTTCGCGTACAGTCAAACCTGTATACTAATCGGCTAACCACGGGGAATGGCGGTAATGTACAGAAAAGGGGTGATGTAAAAAACGATAAAAAATTGCTTTTTTACGCCATAATTGACCACTTAATCGACAAAGACTCACTCAAAAATACTACTGACATTGATTTCGGGAGGGATGGGTTAAATTCACTTCAAATATTATTATTAATTTTATTTGAGTGGTTCCGGTTTAAGTGACCGTTAACTACGGGTGGAGGACAACACAAACAGACCGTTACGACTCACTCAAAGGTGACCACGTCCGCTTAATAGAGATGACCGTTGAATAGAGGTAAAAATGACAGTGATTGAAGGGAAAACAAATTCAGGACTTTGACAACCGACCGCTTAGAACAGGGTGGCCGCTTAATACCGTGCTGCTTTGTACAAGTTGGACTGTATTTCCCCGCGTGACTGTCTTTACCGCCGAGGCTCGCCAGTCATTTTCTTGTAAAATGATGTGGACAAGTTTTTACTTCAAGATAGAAATTATTGTCATAAAGGTTGATGTAATGGGAATTCGTAGCTATCATCATTAACTAGTGTGGTGACCCCATTTTTATATTAACCTTCGAATTTCAATAAAACGATAAAAAGCCATAAGGTAAAGCCTAACGATAACTTCATTCCTCGATTCTATTTCAGAGATGGTAACATCAAAAACAAAATGTTTTAAATCCGAATGATGTAGCATGAATTAAATTCCTCAATGGGAGAAATTAGAGGTCAATGTTTCGTTTGATTTTGTAGGTTTATTATTCGGGTTTTTTAATTTCTAGGTGGTTTGGAAGGGAGCACATTTACTTGGATGTGGCAAAACTATCGTGAATGGCGAACCATATTACATTGCACAAATGGATACCCCAGGAGTCATAGCGGGCGTACCAGGTTTTGACAAGTCCAACGTAGGTGAACCAAAGGAGGTAAGCAGTGAATCATAGGGGAGGGGAGAGGAGAAGGTCTTGCATAAACCCCAAATGAAATGATTCTGTAGATGTGACACACGAGGCTTAGCCGACAGCACCAAAAATACAACAGGACACGAAAGGCTAAGTAATATTATAAGTGCTAATACTTTTCAAATCTCCTTTGTAAATTCTAGTTTTTGTCATCATTATGGTAATCGTAATTGTCACCGTTACTTTTATCGCTAGTAGCGTCATTATCGTTGTATTTTTCGTCTTTCTTGTTGACGTCGTCACAATCAGTGTTATCGTCTTAACTTTAACTTTATTGCGATTATGGCCATCGTATTTTCTGTCGTTACCGTCAACCTTCTAAGTAATGACGTCCTTATAGTAACAAAAGAAACCATTATGGCGGTGTTTTACAGCTGTAGCGACGATGTTTAACTATGACGAAGCAATTACAGTTTACAACGTCTTTATCGTTAACGGCGTCGCTAACTATAATATAAAGAAATCAACGTCGTAGTACCTATTTACAACTCCGTGTAACGGATCAATATCAGTATCTGGGCAACTGCCCAATATCATGAGGTCGTTTTTGTTAACAGCATCAAGATACTTTACGTTATCGTTGTCATCGTCCCCGGCGTTCTTGTCATTGGTATCATTGTTGAGTCGGAAAATATGATTGTGTTGAAGTCTAGGTTTCTTCATTCAACTGATTAACTTGGGTAATAATCATTCCTTCTTCGTCAACTAGCCTGATCTAAACTGGTTCATGGACAGTTCGCCTTACTGGAAAGAAATGCAAACAAAGGATGCCATCCCCAAGAACATCGAGCATCGAATATTGTGATCGCAGTAACTTTCCCTAAATATGCAACGTGCGGGAGCGGAGTAAGTGAATTAACGTTGTGTGTTACTACTGACGCATCTGCGTGAACACTTAACACAGTGATGAGGCGAATGGCGAGGACAATAATGATCTAGACATGAACTTGCAGTAGTCTTAAGAATTTTCTGGAGAAGCTCGTTTTTTACGCTCCTTAGTGGTGCCAGATCTCCTCTTCAGCGTCTCACGTTAAGACGTTGCCCAGTCCAAGTAGAAAAGTCTACATTTGTTTTTGAAGTTCTTGCTCTCAGACTAAACAAAATTTAAACAATACCACGTTGTTTTGAGGAGGACAGCTAACAAGGAAATTTACAAAGTTTTAATACACACTTGAGAACTCTTCTTGATCTAAATCGGATCTTTTGTTTCATCGCAAGTTGCTGTTGACGTCCTGTTTTGCGAGAGGTTCCTATTGCCCTGGAATGACGTATCCTGGTATATTACCATGGACATCGTAAACTTAGAAACAAACGATATATGGTGATTTGTAGAAATTATTCGACTGTAATTCAGTGATTTGAACTGGGGGGGGGGGGGGGGTAAAATTTGAACGTGTGGTCTGATCATAAGAGTGAGGGTATTCCTGAGAAGGACTGATGCCGATTGTAGCGATTGACGTTTCGAGAATGTTAGAGTCGCAGTTGAGTGACATCCGCTGAGGTTTTTACTCTCTTTTCTTTTGAGGTTTTCCAAACGTCAGTCAACTACTATAGACAACAGTAGTTCCCAGGACTTTCCTCACCTGGACGATCAGACGACACGATCAGAAATTACACTCTTGCACGAATTTTATGATGAGGAAATATATTTATTTCCACTGAAATGTGATTACCATATATACATTTCAATTAAGGAATGCGTTTCTTTTAATAATTGCTTTCTTTCAGAAAGTGATGGTCTTCTGATGACTAGAAAAAAAACTGATTTGTTTTGACTAAGATATAATTCCCATGTATCCACGAAAAGAGAACTTTATTACATTTGTATGACATATCCTCGTAATTACAACAAATAAGATGTAGGACGATGTCGGACGATTGGCGCAAATCAAGAGAACATGCTGCTCTCCGCCGTAAATCCTACGGTTGAAAAAATAATGAATTTGATTGACATACACTTTCTTGTTTTTTGTTTCAAAGTTCAAAAGATTCATCGTCCGTGGTGATCAGTCTGGAGAAGCGAATTCTTGTCTTAGACATGTTGCATGTTAGCCAGCTCCTCAGAGAATGGCGAATCATCTTTGAACCACTCACTGTCATCCTGTTGGGTAAATAAATAGTGATATGACCAAAAGTCTCAGCTTACTACCCCCCTGTTTCTTTTTCCTTCCGGTCCCAGGACTGCGCAATGCACGGGGTTTTGTTGTTGGTCCGCGCAATAGGTGCCGTGTCCCAACTAGCTCATCTCCTTAACGTGCTGATTCCACCGTCACTTTGCGGAATCTTTTCATCCAATAATATGAAAAATAGAGAGTAAATTTTATGCACGAGGATATCGATCAATAACAATTTTTCATTACCTGTTTTGGTCTTTCAATGTTCTCCACAGTGTTTTGCTTTTGAGAGATTGGAGCCTGATCATAGTGAGCCACATACCAAGGTTCACCATACAAACCGCCACGCGCACAGCCTATTTTACGAGCCTTCTTCCACATCATTTGCATAAAGTGATCCACCACCTAAATCAAGCAAGAAAGCGAATGTTAAGCAGACATTTCGGAGCCTTTGTAGGTCCGAGGTCTAAGCTGGATGAACTTGAAATGCTAAATAGAAAAAAAAAGAGTACATTGACGAAAAACCAAAATAATTCCGTATTGCGTTCAAGCGACACTGCTTAGTCACTTCGTACAAATAAAATTTTTTACTTTAACGCAACCTGTGAGTTTTTCTTTGGTGCGCCAGTCTGATAATCATAATATGCTCCTTCGTCGTGCCAGTTCTTGATAACAGCAGTGAATGATGGGAAAAGAGAACCCCACGCAAACGCAGCGCCTTTATTTTTTAACTCCACCCACTCAGAATGTTTAAAAACTCCCTTGTCAATCAAAGCTTGTGCTTCGTCTGCCAGCTTCTGGTCAAAAGCCAGCGGTGGTGCATCATGGTTAGCTCTGTATTTGTTGTGCACTTGAATGCATTCCTTCTGGCAAACTTTATCGCATCCTATGAAATAAGTACACCCGTGTCTAGGTTCAGTCTCTGGTACTTGATGTTTTAGTGCGCCTGCAATCCTCTTCTTACAGAAGTTCGCGGGTACACCTGGACTACCACTAAGAGAGACTTAGACTAAAGTGTTTGGTAAATCTGATTAGCCAATCAGGAACTAGACAATTTGTTTAGTATGTTATAAAATTTACTGAAGAAATTTGAATAGTTCAACATCTAATGAGAAGTTGGTGTATCTATCCCTAGTGAAAAATAATTCATGGTTACCTGCAGTCCCTAAATCATGCGATAAAAATTAGTGCAATCGACTGACTTTGATGAAATGAATATTATGTTGCCGGTGTAGACCAACTTTTGGGCTTTATTACCTTTGGTTTCCCCGATATATGAACGACGGAAGAGGTTGCTTTTTGTCAGTGATATCTTGCCGTCTGAGAGACATAATGTAAGCAAGAACTAAATAACTTATTGAGAAAGATGCAAAGCAAATAAACAATTACACTAACTCATTGTCGCCTGTATAACTCACCTGTTCGTGATAGAAAGGCGCAGCACGTGAACAACAAGGCAGCTATTATCATCTTGGGAACATAGATGTCAGTGACCTCCTGAAGAAAACTGTTGTAGATTTAGCTCAAACAGTTTTTCACTTAGTGTCAATCAAAAAGCCAAACGTGATTGAGTTTTCATTTTACGTGATTTTTTTTTACATATAGTGACAATGAGGGCAACGGCACGAGATTAACAAGTGTTTTAAAAAAACAACAAAAACAAAAACAACAAGCTTAGATTTAGCTAAGCAGTCCTTTCTTTATAAGCTACATTGAATATGTTGTTTCTTTATGACTGAATGAACGAGTCAGTGAAGAAAACTTCATTTCCGATCAGTTTCGGCAAGCTTATGAATTCTCCATGTTAAGTTTCTATCCTTTACGCTTACGCATTGCTTCGCAACCGGTAAAAAAACCCGAGCTATCCATAATGAAGCGATCCCGGATGACTCAAATACACTCTCAACTGGTATTGAACTTTTTCTAGTCGTCAATAAAAATGTCGTCGCATGTTATTTGACAAAATTCCGGGTTAGTCGCAATGAATAAATTACTAACTGCAGTCTGTTTGATCGATTTTGATCCCGTTGAGTAAGCAGTGGGTAAATACTTCAAAGCAGTCCATCTGTTAATATCCTGAACAACTCTATAGCTGAGTTTGTTCATTATTTTTCTCACTCAAGCTCGAAAATCAAACTTTTATGGCACAAATTCTATCGCGAGGACTGCTAAAATTTCCCAGTCAGGTAATAACCATTTGATGTTTACTCTCTGCCTCTTGAATACCTGTTGCTAATCTTCCAACCTGGTTTAACACTTCTTGTCCCTGGTTGCGATAATGAAAAGGTCCACTTACCCTTAAGAGCTTTCAAGAGGCGCTTTTGAGTGTGGTTACGTTTAGTATCGTAAGCCTGTGTGATATCTTTGATAAAAACAAATAAATATAAATCACAAAAACATGTCTTTTACCTGCACTGGTCAAATAAACAAATTGATTCCTTCGAATTTTAAGTAAGGTCTCTATGAGGAAGCAAAGTGGTTAATATTTTATGTGATTTTTTAATATCAACCGCTTAACTGACAACAAAACTCAACATCTCAGGTTTTTTTTGACAAGCTTTAAAGGCCACTTATTCAATCATTTGTAAGTGACAGGCCAGATTGTGTTGTGCCAGCGAAACCCACTTCAGTGCATTTTAACCTCAAAAAAATGGAAACATCATTTTTCCCCTCAATTTGTAAATTAAAATTAGTGTGCTTTCCTTTGTTTCAAGGGTGAAATTCTTTTTGAGTTTTTAGACGTGGTCGTGGCACAGGACCGTATGTAAAATGGCAAAAAATAAATCGTCACAATTTTTTAGTAAGGTCCATCGCAATTTGTAAACCACACAAAAACCTTTAAAGAGATTTTCAAGTATTGTATGAAACAGTTATGCTTTCAGGCAGAACGCAACATTTTCTTAACAGCTTTTTCAAGCGTCCTCATTTGATACAACCCTCACAAGTAAACTAGAATAATATTCACTGGTTGTTTTACAGGTAGCACATTCAACTTAAAGACACAAGCTTTTTTCCACCGGTAACTGCTGGCCAATCCGATGGAGTCTGAAAATTAAGTCGAATCATCAATACAAAATCAAAGATGCCCAGTTACTCAGTTTGCACCACGCAGGTACACTTCAGTTTGGCTGACCGCTGATCAACGGGAGCGAGTATGGGGGGGGGGGGGGGGGAACAGCTAGACGGTAAAGCAGTGAGCCAAAACGTTTGATCGGTTTATCATTTTTTTTAATTCTGAGTAATTTTTGATAAGATGACATTTTTCAAACTTGAACGTGGAGAAAAGTATCTTCATAAGACTTATGTCACAGCGACAGGCCAACGGTCACATAAATTTTGGGAGGTGTCCATTTATTGCAAGGTCTTCAGCTTATAAACAAGAATTTTGATCAACGCATCTTTCATCCAATCAACAGATTACACACTATTTGCTTGCACAGCAGCCATACAGTTGATCAGTAACTACAAAGTGTTGGCAGAAATCGAGTTTCTTCCAAAAGAGCTATCTTTCCTCCACAAAAGCGTATCATCGTATGTTATTTCACTAACAACTCATCACAGTGTTAAATACCTGGCTTTTAAGATTCTACAGAGTTAGTAAATCAAAGGGAACATAGTTTCCATCAATGTTTCGGGTTGTTGTGTGTCACACGCTTCTTATCCTTTATGTTAGATTTCTTCAGAACCTTAATGACTTCCTTTTCTTCTTTTACTTCCGGTTTCTTTGATTTCCGGCTAAGAGATGGTGATGGGGAAACACCGTTGGAACTCATCCATTCCTCTCTCTGCGCAGCCGCCACATAGGGGTCTGGGGAATAGTGCTCGGTGTAGTATTCAAACTTGTCATTGGTCTTAGCAGGAGTGAAGTACGTACCGTCCTCAAGAGGACGCTTTACAGCACCTTAAATGAAAGGTTCTAGTCAGTATACGATTGTACTAAATAGTGCAGATGTAATCTCCCGTGATTTTGTTCGATCTGATCGTCAAGTAAGCTTCGTTAATTTAAACGGCAAGAGGACACTGAAAAATAGGCTACAATTTCAAACTCTGTATTAACCTGGGGTCTAGAAGTGTGTACCCACCCGATGATTGTGTAACATGTAATTTTTTTCCCCTCCGGTTTTTTAACAGCTTTTAAAAGTTGTTTCCATGATCAACATTGTGCGTGTTATCTTCTTTACATTTCCAGGTCGATTAAGTTTTGTTTTAAGACAAAAAGCTATTACACTGTAACCAAGAGTAAGGTTAAGGACAACCCAGTAGAAATGCTAAAACAAGGAAATGGGTTTTTAATAATCCCGTACCTTATAAACAACATGACATCAGTATAACAACACTCCTGTCATTGATACCTGTGTCGGGTGCTGAATTGATTGTCGTTGAGGTATAGCTCTCCTTTTTCCAAACGCTGTATCTGGGGGAAGGGTTTTAGTCTGGAGGATTTTTGTCGTGTCCTGATAAAATTAACCTGATCCCCCAATAAGGTTCCTTAATATTCTTGTGACTCCCACTCTGATTTGTAGTAAACTGGCAGTCAATATTCTATGCCCCCCCCCCTCCTCTTAATTTATACTCTGTTGGCGACGACTGATCCCCACTCCGTTGCCCCTGAAAACCATATGATCCCCCCAAAATTCTTCTCCCCCCGGGCGCTAAGCAATTACTTGTCTCTTGAAGAATGGTAAAAGACAGAATTTTCTTAAACTGAAGCTTTTGTCATAAAGGAAAAGAGAGAGAGGCTGGGTCTCATTCTACCCAATTCCAGCCATCATAACGTGGACTAGGTATTTGATATTGGCTCTCCGTTAATGCACTCACCTCCTTCCATGTCGTCATACTGTTGAGGCTGCGGTAAGGAGATCCGTGTGTCTGCGTTCACTGACCACAATGGCGAGTTCCTCTCCGGGACCATAGGCAAATCTCTCTTGGAATTTATGTTTCCTGTCTCAGCAAATTGAGTTGGCTGAGTACCGGAGAATTTTTTTGTCGGCTGTACTGCGTCACTAGCCTTACTAGCTGCTGTGCTGTTTGGATTGGTTGTGGAATTCTGGGAAGGTGTAGTTACATTCTGGGAAGGCGTTGTTGAAGTCTCCACGTATTCTGCGTCTTCATGAGAAATGAAACAGTTTGTTGTCTATTTAAGTCGTTAAAGAATATAAATATGAAAGCTGTCAGAGGTTTCACCTATTTGAAAAGTTGAATAAAAACAAAGGTCTTTATCACTTCTAACTAACATATCAGGAACCAGAACTGAAAACTGTTTACCAAAGTTTTGCTTGTCTTCAAAATTTTGACTGATTTTTCCTTTAAAAAATTCCGCCGTATTTATAATTTTACAAGGCAAAAAAGAAATATTTGTGACAACTCCTGCATTCAACCTGATGCAAATTTTTACTTACTGATACAAAAGCCACATGTCTTGGGACAATATGTTTCCAACTGCTCTTTGTAAGTTTCGCAGAATCCTCTGGTTTTCCATTCGTTGCAATATGGATTTTCCCTGTAAGTATCACGGCAATCTGACAGAAAAGGTATTTCATGCCACGGTTCAGAACATTGTAACTAAATGGCACTGATGCAGAATCTCTATAAAGTAACGAAAAGTGTCACTTCTTCCTGGGCACTTGTAGACTCTCTGGTCAAAATCCCGAATATCTTCGGTTGAAAATAACTCGTTCACCTTACAGAATATATATTTGATCCTTGCAGTAGTTATATCAACATAAATGTCTCTTTGGTGCATCATCAGTTGTCTTTTGGTCTCGATCACAATCAAAATCATCCACGGTATGGTTTAATGACGGAATGAAGGACTTGTTACCAATCGTCGTTTATCGTGTATACCCTACTCTATCATGTAATACCTTTGAAGAAGACTAATTATGATTGAAACAGTAATGAAACGTCGAACTGCGTCCATTTTTGTATTTTTACTGAAACTACTCCAGTTTTCACAGATCTTCCAAGGATCTCAATAAAATAAATCGATCTTATGTCTCAAAATTTGACCTCTGGTTGGATGCGTTCTTCTAAGGAGACCTGATGGCTTGAGTATGACTTAAACAAATTTTGAGTGATTAATTACCTTTGGAATAAAAGCTTTATGTGGATTCAGTTTCTTTGTCCGATTCAGATGATTCAACGCAGCAGATATAAGTATGAGTATCCTTTTAAATTTGTGCATGGGAATCCTGCATAATTTTTCACTCTTGGCCTTGACAAACTAACAAAATACTGCTGTTTCTACTACTTAATGTTTTGATATGATTGAGGCACTTACTGCAGAAGCGACATGTCATAGAACAGCCGTAAGTCAAGTATTGCCTGTAGCGATCGTCCATGCAAATATCAGCATCCTTCCATTTCTGACACGTCTGAGGCACAAATCTGTCCCTGCATTCTTTGAAGAGCAGGCAATGAAAATAAAAACTAATGAATCATTACCAATGGGAAAGCGGAGTGACAGTTGTTATTTTGTCAGCGTTCTCTCACTGATCCAGGAGAGAATCTTCAGGGAGGGCCCGGGATCCAGACTCGCCTCCCTTTTCTCATCAGACTGAAAAGTTTTTAAACTAATTTTCTGGCACCAAAATTCTCTCAACTACAGCATTGCTGATTGATTTCCTCTTTCTTGCTAACAAAATACGCATCAACAGAAGGAACTTGGCGCGAAAAAATTCTTTGATTTCTGAATAAAAGCTGGAACGTCCCTTAAAAATATGATTGTTTAACTGAGATAGCTTAAGTAATCCAACGTCTGTAACAGCCAAGCAAAGTTAGCGTCGATGGTTTCCATTAAGTCAGTTCTTTAGCGATGAAAAGCTGCGAAGACTTCAGTTCAAAACAAACTCAAGCAGTACGCTAACTACACTAGAAGTAAAAAGTGCAACCGATGTCACGAGCGGGTCGATTTAAAATTCTAACCAATAGGATTTATAATAGGCTGTGAAAATTTGGTAAGATATTTCACAACTCCGACAAATCAGCGTCATCTTATCCCAACCAACCCACAAGACTTTCCCCAAAAGATTCCTTCCTCTCACTTACCGGGCTTTTCTTGTTGTGGCTCATTAAGAGTGTTGTGATGTTGGGGGAGCTGTGGCGTGGTAGGAAGTTGATGATGATGAAGGACTCCCACCAAATTTCCTGGATTCACTTTAGGGACTGTTACAACAGCTCCGTTATGCTGTTTTTGTGAGCCTTTGTGTACGACACGAAGAGCATCTTGAACAGCATGCAAATTTGGATTCAGTAGAGTGTTACCTAGGAAACAAAAACGAATTAGGCATCCTTAAGAATAGAATAATATGAGACAAATAAAATGTGTTCGCTTCCAGCAGGAC